CAACACAGGCTCCGGTTTCAGTCAAGTCTCTAAGCTCTTCACAGTGGCTCCTCCATTGCCCTCAAGAACAAAAACTTCCCTTTTCAAAGCTCTCCCTCATCTAGTCATCTCATTTCTGTTACCCTTCAAGCTCTATTCTCGGGACATTCTTCACGTGTCACTCCCTAGCTGGGCCTCCATGTTCCAGGGAGCTCCAGGCTCCCCACCTCAGGAGCAGTCATCACTCCCTCTACCTCATGTGCCACAGCACATCCCAGCAAGTCACACTGGGCCACTTCCAGGATATACCTCCCGTCAGATCTCGCCAGGTGACCACTCTGCCCATCGCCTGGTGCAGGTACCACACTGTCTCTCACAGCCCAGCAGCGAGGCAGCCACCCTCTCTGCACCATCTCTCGCCCACCCCACGACCACCACACAGCAGATAGCGAGATCTTCTCAGAGCAGAATCAGAGCACATTCCTCCCCTGCTTACACCTCCACTGTGTTTTCATGGCTTTTAGAATAAACCCCTTGTGCCCAAGGCCCCAGGTGGTCCGACCCCCCGGTGGGTCTGAGCTTGTCTTTTGTGCCCACCTCGTCCCTCATGCTCCAGCCATGCTGGCCGTCTTCCTCTTCCAGGAAACGCCAAGTGGAAGCCAGGTTTGCCCAGACTGTTCTCATTTGCCTGGAACTCTTTTCCGCCCAGAACTCTGTGTGACTTCCTCTTTCTGATCACTCAGGTCTCAGCCCGCATGTCGCTTCCTCAGAGAGGCCTTTCTTGACCACCCTGCTTGTTCCTCTCCATCCCACTGCTGTGCTCCATCTTCTTTGTAGCGCTGGTTATTTGAAAGCACAGTATTTGCTAGTTAATGGGTTTGTGCTCTGTGGGCTCCCCCGCACCGCCACCCGCCCCGCTGCCCTGTATGTCTCAGGTGAGTGGAGAGTGCTCACACGCAGGTGCAGTATCTAGAATATTTACCACCTAGAGCAGCATTTCACATGGGGTAGTGGTAACTACTTAATGAAATAGTTGAATTCTCTTTCTTTTTTTTTTTTTTTTTTTTAATTTTTTTTTTTTTTTTTTTTTTCCCCCCAAAGCCCCAGTGGATAGTTGTATGTCGTAGCTGCACATCTTTCTAGTTGCTGTATGTGGGACTCGGCCTCAGGATGAACGGAGAAGTGGTGCCTCGATGCGCACCCGGGATCCGAACCCGGGCCACAAGCATCGCAGCGCGCGCACTTAACCACCAAGCCACAGGGCCGGCCCATGAATTCTCTTTCAGATTGCTCTATTTTCTAGAGTTCCTGAGATGTGAACCCCCCAGTTTATAGTTTTTGGCCCTCATAATGGATCCCCATGGGCTCTGTGAATTTTGCCTGTGAGCTCATCCTTGGCAAGAATTTTCTTCCATGTGAGTCTTCAGTGCCTGGCTCCAGTGATTCTCCATGGGAGGGTTCATTTTTGACCCTGAGGACCAATGAGCTTCACTGGTTCTTACATTCATTTCTCAGCCTTAGAGAGTGGTTGGAATTTGGAACACACAGCTATGTGTGGTGCAGACTTCAAGGCTCCAATGTCTTAAGGGGGAATCTTTTCCACCCACGGTCCGAGGCAGTCAGCCCACTTTCGAGTTGAGCCACTGTGATGGGCAAAGATTTTCTAGTTCTGCTGTCACTGATAGTTCTGACTCCTGGCTACATTCAAGGAGCTCAGTTCTAAGTGCATAAGGGGCCTGAGATCTCAGCGCCAGCCCCTGTGCGAGTGTTAAAACCCAAGCTCCTTGGACCTCTTTCTGGTTCAGATATCCTGCGGGCCGCCTCTGTGTCACTCCTGCTTGAATGCTCTCCTCGGCTGAGCCCTGGGAACTCCCCTTTCTGGCACTGGAACTCAGCATTGTGTATATTTTTGGTTAATGTAATATCTTATCCAGCATCTGTGTGTTTGGAGGGTATTGTCAATCCAGCCCACCCTCTGGACCAGAGGACTCTTCCGGCCGATCTCCACTCCTTTGTCTTTACGGCCCTAACCCACGACCCCGCATCTCGGTGACTTTGTGTTGTGCAGTTTGGTCTATGGTCCTAGTTAACGCACTCGCTTCTGCGTCTGCTCCTCAGAGTTACTCCAAAGGCCCCAGTGCGCTGCTGGGCCCCTGGTGCAGTCAGCACTCGCTCGCTAAAGGAGGTGATCGATTCTCCACGCCTTGTCACCAGAGCTGGCCGTGCTGGCTGGTGCCGCAGCTCCCTCCGCCCGGCAGCTCACTTCATCCCTCAGACAACAGAGCCTTTCGGAGCCAGGCCTCCTACTGCAGCCCCGGGAGGAACAAGGGTACTTAGGGAGACAAGAAGGAAGGGGAGGCACCTCCACGGCCTTCAAAAGCCAAGGGTTCTTAGGAGCCTTTCAATGCTGGTAGGCGAAGGTGGAATACGGCTCTCCTCACTGATCTCTTGAACCTGCCCCCTTTACACCCAGGCTTCCAGACATGTTAAGAGGTGACATAATAATAGTAACAACAGTAGCTAATGTTTATGAGCACTTACTATAGCCAGACATGTGCCAAGCACCTTAAATAATAATATAAATAAGAAAATAACTATGGTGATCACAGCAGTTAACATACAGGTAGAGCAGCCCTCCCCAGTCTGGGCCCTGGAGCTGTAGCCACACGGAGTCGGTGCCTCGGGACGGCCAGGACGACCGTCCATCTGTCAGTCCACACGCATTTTACTTTCCAAAGCACACTGGAGCCCCTTGTCACTATCAAGTTTTGTTTTTATATTTGTGTGTTTCAAAGAATTTTTTCTTAGGTTCTATAATATATTTAAATAAATGAATGTCTTACCTGGCCTGTTATTAAGCTCTGATATATTTTTACACTTTAAATTAAAAAAATAAGATAAACACCCCCCAGACCTTTCCCACGTGGGCCAGGCCCCCAGACTTCTCCAGGAAACCCTTCTCTGCCCATTATCCCTGTCAGCTGTCCTCCTACCTGGCACAAGTAGGCTGGGCTGAGACTCAAAGCCTGGAGGTGACGGAGACAACTGTCTGCCCTTACAGGACTGTGAGTCTCCAAGAGGCTGGGCCCACCCTGTCCCTAGGGGCTGGCAGCAGCACCCATGCCCTTGGGCACTGCAGAGGCCAGGGAGTGAGAGGAGGTGGGTAGGAGGATCCGCCAGCCAGCGGGGCTGCTCTCCAGGGCACGTGTCTCTGGTGGCTGGGGACCAGGGACGGAAGCTGAGGGAAGGTGGGGACAGCACAGTGTCAGGTAAGGGTGGGTCTGGGTTAAAGGGCCAGCCGGGTGACCTCAGTTTGGTCATCTGTACAATGGCGTGATAAAATACGAAGACTGAACGATCTACTATTTGTACAGTGCTTGCAATTTGTGTCTGGCATAGAGAAAACACTACATAAGCATTTGTTAAATAAATAAACGCCCTTGAATTCCAAAACAAGCAAAGCCCAGCTGAGGCCGCAGCAAAGGAAGGAACAGGAAGGGCTTCCTTACAAGAAAAAAGGAAGAGCTGCCCACCGCATCCTGCCTTGGGGAACAGATTTAATTCTGTGCCTCTTAAGGCCCTGCTGGAGGGAGCAGGATGTCCCGAAATATGCACGGCTCCGGCCGAGGGGCTGTGACGTCCTGCCTCAGCTGGAGAAGGCTGCAGGAGGCGCTGGGAGAGGGCAGAGTGGTGGCTGTTGCTCAGGGGGTGCTGATGGGCAGGTGTTCTGGGCAGGTGGCCTGTTCTTCCTCTGCGGCTCCCTGCTGCTGCCGCCAAGGTGCTTATGATACAGTGAGCAAGAGCCGGCCTCTTGAGGCACATACACCTGCATCTCGCTCGCCATTACCTCTCTGCTGGGAGCGGGGGTGCCCGGCCCAGCACTATAGGTTAAAAGGTAGGTACTTTCTTTCCTTCCCCGGCCCCTAGAAAGGAAGCCCAATTAATAGCTCTCTCTGCTCCAGCGGACACTTAAAGCTACGACACAACTGACTGACTTCTTGCCAGAAATTTGGTTTTCCTTAGTGACTAAATAATAGAAATACAGTGTAGTGAGTATAGTCTACACTTTAGTATCTTGTACTTGTGGGTGAGGTGAGAGTGTTGGCCTGGAGAGGGGATGGAAGGGAATGGAGAGAAAGAAGAGAGTTATTGATAAAGAGGGCAGAACACTCATTTTTTCTCCTAAGCATCTCTCTATCCAAGAGCGGTGGTTTTCAACCTTGGCTAAACATTAATCCCCTCGGGAGTTTTTAAAATTCAAGTTGGCAAGGTCATACCCCCTAGAGCAGTGTGTTTAGTTGTTTTTTTCTAAAGTCAGCAAGAGAAAACCTAAAAGTTACACATGGTTCTAAAAGTCCTATTGGACTCGTCTAGAGCAGAGGTGGACAAACTTTTCTGTAGAGGACCAAATAGTAAATATATTCGGCTTTGTAGGCCACAAAGTCTCTGTTGCACCTACTCAACTCTGCCCTTGTACCATAAAAGCAGCCACAGATGAACCCATGAGCATGGCCGCATTCCAATAAAACTTTATTTACCAAAACAGACAGTGGGCCAAATTTGGCCCATGGGCTGAAGTTTGCCCATCCCCAGTCTAAGAGGAGATAAGGGGCTTTTCTGAATCATTCCTTGAACATCTCTGTATTTCCCCGTCCCAACACTAGAACTCTCCCTGTGCGAAGCCACTCACAAATCACATCAAAATAACCCAGCCAGCAGGTGTCAGAGCAGACGACAGAGGGGAGATTGCTGGAGCTGGGGGAAGGGCACCTGGGGGTCAGTCCGTTCTTTTGGCTACTTTTGCATATGTCTGAACATTTCTCAAGATAGAATGTTTAAAAAATGACATTTGAAAAAAGAGAGAGGAAAATTCCCTCACAAAAAACATGAGTTGAGACTGGCGGGAAGTCCGGGGATTGTGGGACCCAGCGACATGCGTCACCTGTGTCCTCCCTGGGGACCCAGCCTTCAGAAAGCGTGGGCAGGTGCGCTGGGTGGCGAAGCCTGGGGAGGATACTCACGACCAGTAGAGCAGCATGAGCAGGAAGGGGCAGATGATGAGGGCCTGCAGGACCTGCCAGTCCCGGCACAGGGCAGCCAGCCCGGGCATGAGGAACTGCCCCGCCATGGCCACGAAGCTCGCCACCATCGTGATCATGAACCGTTTTCCAGGGGGGCACAGCTCTATTCCTGGAACACAGAAGGGACAAGAGAGACGTGAGCGCCCTGCCCTATGGCCTCGGGACCACGGGTGCACCAGGGCCAGCGCACTTCCCAACCCGCCAAGAACAGTAACATCATCTTCATTTGCTGGTCGCCACGAGAGCCCTGCACGGTATGTCACTGCCAAGACCCTCGTTTTCTCAGCTGGATGAGCTGAGGCCAGACTGGGAAGGGAGCGAGATTGTCGCTTAGGTCACAGAGCAAGTCGGTGGCAAAAGAAGGTTGTCATTGGGAGTTGCCTAGCCCAGACACAAGGAAACGCTGCTTTGTACAGGGACATGGTGTTTGCAGCCACGTTGTTCCCATCCTCTGCTCGCTGGATGTTACTGAGTGGGTTCCCGCTCATGCCCCTCTGGTGCCGTTCCCTCCATCTATCACGCTGTCCTGGGGGACCCTCTCAACCTCTGGACAGGGCACCAGGCGTCCATCGGCTCACTCCTATCCACCTGCACCAGCCCTCCTGGTCCCGACTCCAGTGCCCCTTGGAACTCTGAGACCCAGGCAACCTACTCCCACTGCGACACCAAGACAGACCCATCGCACCTCAGCTTATCTATGTCAACAAGACAAAACCACACAACAAAGCAGACTTGGGTCATGGAGTAGCGGTCTTGCCATAAGCCCCTCCTCCATATCGGAATTCTGTTGCCCACCGTGACACAGGCATGTAGCACATCCCTGTTTGCAAGAATCTATGCTCTTCATTTGACCCTGACTAAAAAAGATGGCCACAAAACCTTAAACTGTAGCACCCAAAAGATAACAGTACAGCTCTACCACGTGAAATTCTGTAATAAAGGCCTTCAATCCTAGAAAATGCAGCTGGGTCTCATGCATTTTTTTCCCCTATAGAGCATGTAAATTTGTTTGCTGTCTTCTACAATATGCAGTATTCTCTAAAGCTTGCTTTTTTTTTAAGTGGGGTTAAAATGATTTTTAAAAAAGCAAGCAGAAAGACCCTCAGGAGAGGATACTTTTCATGCCTCTGGGTCTGGAGACTGTTTGTAGATCAGAAGCTACAGCCCATCTGCTGGTTGTCTGGAGACCACAGCCCAGGTGGGAGGCGGGAAGGCAATAAGAAGGGGAGCAGATTAGAGGGGAGAAGAGACGACTTACACTGGCTACAAGGATAGAATCAGCCCGACCAAAGAGAGGGCACTACACCAGCCAGTACCTACACCAACTCATTGGCAGGAAAAAAATAATAAAGTCACCAGAATTTCCATTCCTGCTCAGCCACAGACAAACAGATTGTCATCACAGCTATTGGTGACTGAGAGAGAAGCCCAGCCTCTCTGAATATCGCTTATAAAGAACTTTTGGCCATTGAATTAGGAGAAAAGGATTAAACAGCCCTCTCCTGGCCATTTACAGTGATGCTGTTCCTTTCAACGCACAGGCCAGGTTCACTTACAAGATTACTCCCCGGGCCGGCCCCGTGGCTTAGCGGTTAAGTATGCGCGCTCCGTTACTGGTGGCCCGGGTTCGGATCCCGGGCACGGACCAACGCACCGCTTCTCCGGCCATGCTGAGGCTGCGTCCCACATACAGCAACTAGAAGGTTGTGCAACTATGACGTACAACTATCTACTGGGGCTTTGGGGGGAAAAAAAAATGAGGAGGATTGGCAATAGATGTTAGCTCAGAGCTGGTCTTCCTCAGCAAAAAAGAGGAAGATTAGCATGGATATTAGCTCAGGGCTGATCTTCCTCACACATACACACACACAAAAGATTACTTCCTAGTGGGGCTCAGACATTCACTGCAGATCTGGCATTTCTGCTCCAAAAAATAATAAAGAGATCAGGGTCTTTCTAGAAAAGACTCACAGCTGCAGCTTCTAGTTTTCACTTATCAATCATGAGCACTGGATTTGCCGTTATGAAACCAGAAGTCTGCATTAGCCGGGGTGAGTTCCGCGGCTCGCACAGGTCAGGATCAGAAGAGAAAATGTAGCACTTGGACAGCCAGGCGACCTTCACACACGGTCAGAGAGATGCTGTGAAAACAGCACAACAGCTTCCTGTCGGCGCTTTGCTGGTCTGGCAGGCACGGCACACAGCTTGCCGTTCCCTCTCATGGCTTCTCTCTCCAATTGTGATACAGTAAGTATGGAAATACCTGCAACCGGAAGTCCTTTACCACAGTCCCCTTGGGACGTCTAATCCCACACGCTAATCCACGCTGTGCACATCACACACACGGTCAAGAGGCCGCTGTCCAAAGTGGGGTCTAGATTTGTGGATGACAAAGGAAAACTGTCCCCTGAAGGGCACATGATTCCATAGTCTTACTTCTCACTCTCTCCTTGCTGCAAATGAGATGCTATGACTGGTACACATCTTAGCGTTACTGTTGATATGACAGTGATCAAATTGTCATAGTTTTCTTCAGCAGGGTTCCTCTCCCTCTCCCGGGAGCGGTCTGAGAATCCTCTAACTCCTCGTTACTCGGACCTGAAGCACCAGTATCACCTGAGAGCTGGTTAGAGAGGCAGAACCTCAGGCTCTACCCAGACCTACAGAATCAGCATCTGCATTTTCAAGAGATCCTCAGACGACTCAGTGAGAAGCACCGACTAACTATACCCCGCAAACCATGAGCATCACCCACAGCAAGAGAAATGTTTTTGCCTCCCAGACGCACATCTATGAGAGCTGAATAAGTAACATCATTTTCTGACCTCTCCACTCCTGTTTCTGCTAGGAACCCTGGCAGAGATTTTACTTTATTTCATCAGGTGGAAAAATGTAGAGCACTCGAGCAGATATATTGTATTTGAGCATTCCTGCCAGGGCAACGAAAGACACAGCGACTTGAAATAAGGACGCAGGTACGACACTTGAAGATAATGACCTTTTTGCCTTGATTCACCAGAAAAATTCCTTCCAAGCTGCCTGAAATCAGCTATGTGCTGAAGGTGGCTATAAAGATGTTTTTAAAAAAGCAATTATCGAAGAACCGCAGGCACTTTACGCTTGCCATTAATCACCTGTTCCCTTTGGATGGTGAGAAATCAGTTTTTCTGAAGGGGAAGAGAGGAAGAGATACATCAGAACATCAAAGCCTTCAGTCCCGGCATCCGGTAGGAGGGGATGGGGACTACAGGTAGACGGTGTCTGCCCGGAAGGGCCTGGGCCCAGCTCTGCAAACAGGAGCAGCTGGGGCAATGGTCACACACCTTAGAGATGCCCACAGCCACCTGGCCAGTGCCACTGGCCTTGGTCTGGGAAGGCAGGGAACTCACCACCAGCAGGGAATGGTGTCCCCGGTCCAGCCGCCCCCTCAGGACCTGGGTACCATGTAGGATTGGTCACCACAGGCAGGCGTCCACAGCTCTGAGCTGCCAGCCAGTCAGCAGCACCTGTGGAAGGCCCGGGTTGTCTGCTGCATCAGGACACTTCTTGGAGACACTTTCTTTGCCAACAGCACCAACCTGGAGTTGTCTGAGTAGATTTTCACTTATGGGCAGCACCCTCCCCTTCATTAAGTAAGACAATTAAGGGTCACAAAAAACTACCATCTTAGGTGATGCCTCATAGACTCAAACATAAGAACATCTCCAATGTCCAGCATGCAGCGCTTTCACTGCTGTGGTTAAGGGCCCGGATTCGAATCCTGCCCCAGCACTTGGGTTCAGTCATCTAGAAGTCCTGTGCCTCAGTTTCACCATCTGTAAAATGGGCTGTTGTGAGCATTAAGGAGGCACAGAGTGCCTGAATATAGTGAATGCTGCATGTTAGCTCTCGTAAGTAATATCACCCATGAGTATCATATATAACAATGTCATTATTGCCAAATCATTCTTTGGTCTCATCTGACCTCTTTATTATTCACCTGATCTGGTGAATTTCAAGGTAGGACTGAGGTTTGTTCTAAAAGACTGAAAAAGAAAAATAACCTACAATGACAATCTCGCTCTTCCTTCTCCATATATTTTCTTTCATGGAGATTCTCTCAGAACTAGAGACAATCCATTAGTGTAAAAACAGAACTAAGTGAATCCAGGAAAACTACATCAAAAATTCCCATTGTTAAAATGACTTTTCCCCCAACGCCTTGATGGAGAAGGCTTAAAAGCTGTTCTTACAAGCTTGACATGCTTTATCTATCAGCAGAGAAATTACTGGAAGTTATGAGAATTAAACAGCATGTGGTTAAGACTTAACTGAAGCATCCAGCCTGTAAAAATACAGGGGCTCACGACCACAACAGTGTGGCCCCTAGCCCTCCGCGAGCTCTGCTGGAAATGTGGTGTTGGGCTATAAGTCTGGGAAAATTCGCTTTTCGGAAGCTTTCAGATTCTTACAAATTTCCTGAGGGAAAAGAAAGTTGTGCTCCTCAGATCAGTCACTTCAGGTGACGGGGGAGGAAGACCTGAGGGGAGTGAAGCATCGAAGCCTGGGGGTCATCAGTGGCTCCTGGGAAGGAGGGTGTGAGGGCCAGTTTGATGTGTCAGTGTGGCGGGGCTACGGTTCCCAGGTATTCAATCAAGAGTAATCTGGGTGCTGTGTCAAGGTCCTGTACAGAGGTGATTAAAGTTCACAATCAGTTGACTTTAAGTAAGGGAAACTATCCCAGATAATCTGGGTGGACCTGACCCAATCAGTTGCAAGGCCTTAAAAACAGAGCTGAGGCCTCCCTGAAGAAGAAGAAAACATTTTGCCTGTGGATGGCAGCTAGCTTTGCCTCGTGCCCGAGTTCCAGCCTGCCTTCCTGCCGGCCTGCCCTCCTGCCGGCCTGCCCTCCTGCCGGCCTGCCCTCTGGATTTCAGGTCTGCCTAACCTGCCCCCATAATCGTGTAAGCCAATTCCTTACAGAAAACCTCTTCCTATATATCTCCTCCTGGTTCTATTTCCCTGGTTGATACAGAGTCCGGCTTCTTGCACTCACACGGGGTCACGCAGGGTCCTCCTGAAGCCCCATCTCAGAAGCTGCTTGCCTGGCCGCCTACTGGCCTCCCTAAA